CGTATCGCTAACCATCCTTGCCTTTAAACAGGAGTTTGCGTAGATAGCCACTCCCCCTCCTGCTCTATGTTCCCTGTCCCTGCGGAAGAGTTCCATGCCAGCAACACGCATCTCTTCGTCGGAGATGTCCGATGAGAGCCAGGATTCGGTGATGAATATGATGTCGGAGTGCTGATGTTCACGCAGCGTCCTCATTTTTGCTACCTTCCCTATTAGCCCCCTAACGTTGCTGTACATACATATTAGAGTGTACCTGATGAGGGGGAGGTCTGGATGTGTATTTTCGCAGGATGAGCGCTTACGTGGTTGAATTTAGCCTCGCCAGTCCTCATAGGACTGGCATTGTTCCGTTTTTTTGTGTTTTGTTCTTAACTTGGGTGGGGGCTGTAGCAGTGGTGGCTTCTTTACTTGATGTATCTAACTCACTGGTCAGCGCCTGTGTGACGACCACTGACTCCAGAGGTCTTGGTGGTTGCCGTCTCTCCTCTTGCCTTGTGGGTCTAGGCTTACTTTCACATATACGTATTGAGCCACCCATGCGATCTTTCGCATTATACCATGCGTGCAGAACGTCTGTGAGGGAGGCATATGAGTCGAACTGGACGGCAAGTAGTCTGGGATTGGGTATGGTCTTCAGGTGCGCTGGCCTTGGCAGTCTACTGACGCTGTTGGCCGGTATACTGTTGAGACCAACTTTGGTTGAGAGCCATTGCCATTGTTGGACGTCGTGAAAGTACCGATCTTTGACCGAGCTGTCACTTGGCAATTCTGGAATCCCATGTACAACTATAGTGTTGTTTCTGTTGGGATTTCCAACCGCTGACTTTCTCTCCTCCTCTCTTACTGACCATGGCTTGTCAGGCCTGGCCCGAATTTTACAGGCATTAACAACGTCCGGTTGTCGTGAGAGGAGGAGTGTGTCTTCAGCCTCTTTGGCGGTATTTAGGGACACACGTAAAGGGGGGGCTTATCTCGGGGTGCATGGCTTCCTCGAGAAAGGCGACACAAAGTTGCAGGGAGGGGAGGGAGTCCCAGCATCTGACAGTAGTCGGTCCACATTCGGCTGTCAAATTGTTCCCTCTCGACCAACAATGAGTCTGTCGATACATCGACGTTGAACAAAATGATCGAGTTGGTCCTCCTGTGACCTGGGTTCGTTGTGGGTGGCACGCCCGACTTACCAATGGGTTTGAGTAATTCCACTGGTTGTTTCTCAGTCACGGTGTGTGGGGTGTTCGGAATGGGTTTCGTAGAGGCTTCGGCGGTCGATGTCTTTGGCCATGCGCTTGACGTCCCCTGGGGCCGGGTGGGGGTATGGAGACTTGACCTAATATGGTCCCCACGCGAGATGGCGTGCCCACAGCTGGAGCTCTAGGTCTGTTTCCAGGTCTCTCTGTGTTATCCTTTGGTGTTAACCCTACCTTATTCGGGGATGCTGGTAGCTTTTGCGTGGCGGAGAGCATCTCCTTCAGGCTTTCTGTGCGGAGTGCGGGCATTTTCCTGCACTCTGGACAGATGTACCAGAACCACTTGCATGGTTGTCTCTTCATCAGCTTATAGTATTGTCGGGGGACTTTGGTATCGCAGTGGCAATGCACCCATCGTTGACACAGGTTGCATGCAAATGCCTCATCGACTACCGAAACAACTTTGGTGCAAACACTGCAGCCATCGGGTGTCGTAATACAGCCTTCCTTCCATGAATAAGGTGCTACGGATTGTGGCGAACTGCTTGTGGCTGCCTTGTTCTGAAGCCTTTTACGTCGTCTTCTATTTTCAGGCATGGTATGATCCTTGCTCAAGATAGGACTAGTTTGTGACGGGTTAGTGCTACTCTGTGTCACCTGTCTGATGGCTACTGGAATTCTAGAAACATGGGTTGGCCACTTCTTCAGAAGTTCGATGTTCTGCCCTACCTCTGTTTGTCTTCTAGTACAGACTAGTGTGTTGTTTAGGGTGTTACTGGCCGTTGTTGTGCACGACCGCGTTATCCGTGTCAAAGCTTCAGACCTAGCGTTTTGGGCAGACATGTCGCTATGATATAAACTTCTTGGGAAAACAAGTAGTTAACAACAATAAGAGGGTTGAAGACTGAATGCAGGAAAAGGACAGAATAGAAAAGGGAAGATAATTTATGTTGGCTCACCTTCAGACACTTGTCACTTGATCCTCTGCTCTTGACCAACGAGTTTAACCGTAAGCTCCAGATGCGTATGTATAACCAGGAAGATATTTCCTGGGGAATGACCTCCGAGGAGAACCGAGAGCTAAGGCAGTTTGGCAGCTGAAACGCCCAAGAACCACTGACAGGAGGTAGACCGGTTGGTTCAAAGGAATAATAATGCCAATTTTCAACTGTTGAGGAGTGAGCTGACGAATGCGCAGGGGTGAGGTGCGTGGACGGACAGAAGTGCTGCAAACGTTCTATGTTTTTAGATTGAGTATTGAAAGTGGGAGTTTTTCATTGTGGAAAAATCCAAAAGCTGAGAGACGAGCGAAACACGTCACTACTCAAGGAGCGCGCCAAATGATCATATATCTTTTCCCAAATATGTTCTTGACGTTTCCATCTTGCAATCAACACACACAAACTTCAGTGTCACCTGTTTTATGCAACAAGCAAGAGACAGACATACGCGTAATTAAGCTGACACGTGATCCGACGCCATAAAAGTATTATGGAAAGAGAGACAACCATCTTCCGACCCTCTTCAGTGAAAAAGTACAGCAATGTAACTTGTCTGTGCCCATCGTTGGTTTGATGTCGGTGAACGCCATGTGAGACAGTTTGTCACCCTATACCCGAAGTTGGTGCGGGCTAGCAACAAGTGACTGCTAGAAAGAACTACAACAGAATATCACTGTCATCGACTGGTTGGCGTGGAATTCCGTCAATGACTCCGTGATGCCTTTCCCACTAGCTCACCCTCCCTGCTTGATAGTTGCAGTTACTTGTCATTATGACTACATCTGAAAGTTTTTCTTTCTGCAGCAAATATTGATGCCTTCTCGTAGAACTCATCCTGTAGATCACCCTAGCCACGGTCCGTGGGTGCGTAGGCGTCGATCAACCTCATTATACACCAGGGCTTTTACAAATCTACTCAGTCGAACAGCGTATAGATGGCTGCTGGCTGGTTTCCGGTTAAGAAGTACATTTTCTCCCCAAGAAATCTGGCAAGTCCACGAGATCGAGCAACTAGATCCCCAGGCTGAAAGCTAAATAAAATCGATGTTAGAGGCTCAGAAGACTAGGAATGGTATTTTGATTCTCTGGGTCGTTGGTATTGGTTTCACAACGAGGGGCCAATGGGTTTTTCAGAAGCCTAATACTGATATCAGGGGTGGAGGTAAAGAAAGGAATAGAGGAAAGAAAGAAGGATTTCGTTTGACTGGATTTAGTATACTACTGGAAGCATGCGAGTGGCTAACACTTCATGGCTCCCCACATCGTGTAAGCTGGTTCCACAGGCCATCTGGAGGAGAAGGAGGCTTGTGTGACTCCAGACTTAACGCAACACCCCGAGATCTGTAACACAGATTCCTGTAGACTGATGATTTGAGACTTGGCTATTCAGATGCCAAGTTGGTAGAACCCGTACGACTGCCACAGGAAAACCGCATGAAAACACATCGCGAAGTTGTTATATACAAGATAATCGCACGTGATTTCTTATCCTACCACTTTCCTGAGGACCTTTCTGCCACGGCTTTACCTCGAGGGAAAAAGTATATTTCTGCGGGTTACTGTGATACGCGAGCCCGGCCACCACGTTAGATTACCAGCTGTTGGTGAAACGATAAGACGAGCAAGAAACGGTGACCAGTAAACGAAAATCCAAAAACAGTAACTTAAAAAACTAAGGCCACGGCAGGTCCTAGGAAATGAATATTTGTTAATATGGTGAAACAAAACTAGTATAAGCTCCTTTTTTGAATACTGGCATTTTGTAAATCTAATAGTTTTACTTCGATGTTGTACTGACACGCCTAACTGATAAGCATTTTCCAGGCAATGAAGAAATGAATAAGAACAGATAACGTGTTTTGACTTGCAAAAATTTATCTAGTTTGCAATACCCTCACATTTGGTACCGGATAGAAATCACCGCTACCCATCCTAACGTAAGCATTACAGATCGAATTAGAAGCATTCGGGTCTGTATTAATAACATTTACTTACATTTCAGGACTAGACCTCTTATTGTCTTTTAATATCAACTCTGGTTACTAGATACCGGTGAAGAGAGTCTCTGTTACAATTCCGATTTGTGTACCGACTCACTGAAAAAATTACGCGAATAAGGACCTATCTACTACTGTACAGATGAGCTGACTTGTGCAGGAGGCAAATGTCTCATCTGCCTGCACAAACTGAGGGCAACGGATGACAGATGGGAAAAACCAAAGAAACTGGTAAATAATGTGAGTGCTTTTATTTCTGAAGTTCGAATAGTGAAGTACGAAAAAGCTACAAAACAGCCGAAATGCCAGCCACCATTTATCAGTTCAGTACTTCAGTCGGTATTCAGCTTACCAGAATCCTCGCCCCTTTCGATTCCAAGGCTGCATTACTAATTTGTCATCGCAGTAGACAGACGGTCTAGGATCGTTAGCCTTTGAGGCAGAACTGTTATTCCTTATCTGGCCTTACTAAAGCGTCTTATCATGCTCGTCATGACTACCTCATTGGCAAAGTGAGATCGCTCAGGATCGAACCACTATCTGTTGATTGATTCTCCTCATATATTTGGCCAACTATGTAAAGTCAGATGTTTTTCTGTGACTATTGAGTACCCTGGAGTTCAAGTGGTAAGACCTCTTATTTATACGGTGATACATGCACGAGAAACAGCGACAACAAAGCTTCGTCATTTCTGTTGTCAACTGCTTAAAATCTTTTAAAACATTGGAACATCATTTGTTTTTCTACTCCGTTTCACTCTATCGCATTTTTGTGGGAATACAAACACGTTCCTCTGAAGTCGCTTTGCACGAGGATGTTGTTTCGTCTTCTCTTCTTTATAGCTTTTATATCTAAAAGTAGGTTGAAACCGTTCAGGCTTTTATAATTTCTTTAAGGTATTTCAGTGGATTTCATAAAGTTTCAAAAACTCAGCATAGCTTCTGAAGAATCATTGATATTTCTGTCGAATGATAAACCAACAGTTACTCTAGATGCCTCAGTCAATCAACAGAGGACTGTATATTTTGCACAAAGAAGTACTGTTATGAATTTGAAGTTGACAATTGCTTGTATCGTAAACCATCAAGTGAAACCTCTCGAGAAAGTGTCATTATGCTGCCGTAAAAGCATGGATGATCCTAAACGTTCGTGTAATCGCATATCTAAGGTTGAGGGTAAATTTTCATGCATGAACACCGATTTTCAATACAGTATGGACGAGTACGCAGGAGCAAATTTCTCAATATCTCTAACAAGGGATACTGCTATGTCCAACCCAATCAGTGGATTTTTCTCTTGTGTCGTTGCAACAGATGATTTCAACATCATTGAGTCAAATGAGATTGAAGTACGCGATGCAGTTTACTATATCCGTCAACTAAGACATACATTGTCTGGAAAAGTAGATGTTGTCCCACCTATACCACTACCCCTATTCCATATGAGTTTAGATGTTCAGATGATACGAACGTTATATTGGGTTGGCCATACTGGATGCATCAACTTGATGGAAGATATGGACCATATAGATGGAGATATTGCCTAGCTGCAGGAAGCCTAAATGCAGTAACGTGTGCAGAAAGAACTGTTGAGTTTTCTACTGATGCCATCGTTACATTTATAAACGGGAGTGCCTACCTCACGGATCCTAACTTGATTGACACAAAGTCTATAGCTGTAGTTTGCACCCATGTCGACTATGTGGGACCCGTCAAAACATTTGCTGGGAAAGTTGGTGGGCATGAGGTTTCCGAAATCGCTGCTGGCCTTTCACTTGATAAGACCGTTACAGAACCAGGTGATAGTAAATTATACCCATTAACAGCGTTATCATCAAGCTATATCATTTCCAAAGGCAGCAAGTTGCAAGATTTCTATTTGAAAGCCTTATACCGACAGCCAGAGGGTGCTTATGTGTATCACTGGTTCAAGGATGATCAATTATTACCTGAGAAATCTTCGAAAAAGTACAGTTATCCGCTACCCAGTCGTGTAGATGAGTCTGTATCTGGGACCTACGCACTTGTTGTGAAATCGGAAACCGATGTTACTGATAGGTTGGTGTTCACATATGATATAAAGGTGGTGGCACCTCCCGTCTTCAAAGATTTAAAGTGCTTGAAGGAACTATTTTATGTGATGGAAGGCAATAGCTTTAATGCTATTTGTGAATTTGACAGCAGGTGGGATACAGAGGTATACGTTGGTGTATCGTCATTTGAGGCAACCTCATCTCAACAACTTCGCCGTTCAGTTGAAGAAAATTTCAAATATTCTAGACAGCAACTTTCTCAGTTGGATATAGATTTTCATGTGGATGATGAAGGCATGAATAAGAAGATTACTGTTGCTATCACCAATCTTAAACTTGAACAGGATTGTGATTTATTTATTCGCATAGCCTCCAGATACGGACAAGGACGCGTTTCTACCGCAATAAAGGTGGTTCGTAAGTTTTTCATTTTCTGTCCATTCAATGTTACGACAGGGTTATAAATGACCTAAAGAATAGTAAAAATTCTTAGGTACTGTGCGCCACATGCTATTCTGACAGACATGTCTCGGTAGTAGCAGACAGAAATCTGACAGCTTATTTTCCCACTTACTAACTGTAAGGTCCTTATTTCAAGCAAGTGAACGTCATTGATCAGTGGTCTTAATTCATATTAAGACGAGATTCTGTTTTGTGTGGTTTGAATTCATCTTTTCCACCTTCCAAGCTATTGGACATGACATAAAACCTCGCACAGATTTGCACTAAATCACATTTCTATACTTCGTATTAGATTAGGGGAAATAAACCAAACCGAAGTAAATTAAAATTCGCAAGAAGGACTTAATTCGGGATAGAGGATACCTTGTATAGAGTAAAAGAAGTACCAAGAGCACCAGGTAGTACCATTATTGTCATAAACACTGATGAGGACGTTGTAATCTATGATATTTCATAGGTACTAGTTACTAAAGCACATAGCGTACGTAGTTCTGTTATGGAAGAACAACAATGTGTAACCTCTGCTAAGGTTTATAGATATGATCCTCACCTATCAGAAGTACGGTGATGTCATGAGATTTTTATCTTGATAATAAGAGAAATTGTATCGTGCACTAACTCCAGGATATCAAGTTCAGTTCTCACACAATTTTTATGAAGATAACTAACACTTTACTGTTTTGAATATGTTTATTTGATAATGTGACAATACTGGGAACAGATTTATCTAATTTAAAGCTAGAGGAGTCATACTAGGAATAAACTTTGATAAAATTTTGTCAGTTTCATACATTTACCAGGCACACACTGATGAAGAAGCATCCAACAGGATACTTTTGGTCGAACTTCTGTCAAACTCACGGGTCATGTGTCAAAAGTAGGATAGAATGGACTCTCGACCATTTAGTAGGCCTTTAATTGATAGTCAAGTGTTGAAACGGAACCACTGATGGCTTAAATTGTGATAGAAATCAGGTTTCTTCCTTGTAGCCACTTGGATAGCAGCTAGCCATAAAGGTTAGTGCAACTATCCAAATGTTATCAGTCGCATTCCCTGTTTTGTTTCCTTAAATTAGAATTTTGTATGCCTAGCACATATGACTAAAAAAGTTCTCCAAGTTCTACATTATACAGTTTCAGTTCTCAGTTATGAAGGTTGTAGACCAATTCAGCTTCGAATAGTCCTTGCGGTAGGTGTTTCTCCGTGAATGTCTTCACTAAACGAGTGGGTACCACTTTCTCAGGTAAAAGGTTCCATTCGTCGACCTTTTTATAAAAGAGGCGTAGGGGATTTTCCTGCGGTCTTGAATTTTCTTGTAGTGGTCTCAAATGGGATTGATCCTAGAGGGAGAAGAGACATACTAGTCCCAAGTTTATTGTTATTAATGTGTAATACTAATATTAGATCCACTTTTTGTTTACTACAATAAGACAATGGGAAATGATTTAGTCATTCTTAATGGTCCTCATGCGATAGGTTAGATGGGACAGCCATAAGGTTAGTATCAGGTGTTTTATCATGCTCTAATGCTTTAGCATCGTTCATAAAGCGAGAACTGACCACTTTTGGGTACCATATCCGAATTATATCTTCCCCGAGGCATTTTGATGCTCTGTGAAGATACTTAAGTGTCTAAAAAACCTTTTTCCCGCGGCTTTAATGGAATTTCTAGATGTCTTCAAGTGGTTGACTATGCATCTCCAGTCTTTAATTCGTTGAAAGTCAGGTTCTGGTGTCCCATCTATTAAATGCTGATGACACCTGATATAAACGGTATGCATAACTGCAGTTAGAATTAATTTCTAGTTCATTCATGTTCACTTGTAATGCACATATTAACATCCTTACGAATAACCTTCTACACTTTCATATTATCAGCAAATAATCCCACCTGTCACTTAGTCATATCCAGCAGTTCGTCAACGTAGAGCGAAAAAAGAGAGGATCTAGGATTGTTTTTTTGGGAAATCCCACTCGTTACAAGTTACCCCTTATGGTGTTCCATTTGCGCTTACTCTTTGCCTTTTATCAAATGGAATTTTTTTAATCTAGACTTGCATCCTAGTATCAAACATGAAACTTTAGAACTTTGTGTAATGTGTGAAATTATATTGGAAGTCTGACTGAAGTCAATTAACATAGTATCTACGAGCAACTTTATCATGACCTGTTGTCCATTTCTCTCTTGCTATGAGGAGGTTAGATAAGCAGTAGTGACCGACATTAAACCTATGTTATAACAACGTGAGAAGACTGGATTTTGATATGATTGATCCCTATTTCCCTGATCCTCTAGACTACTTCAATAGCTGTGCTATCTAGAATAACGGAGAGATGATTCGCTACTAGTTGTCTATCAACTGATCACAGCATCTTTCCAGTTTTTTGGAAGCTGAGTTGGACATAGGGACATACTGAATAGTTCAGCAAGTGACCTGGTAATAATATCTGCGTAGAAAGATAATAGCCATGGGGTGCAAGTCATCAGGACCAGAAGATTTTTCAGGCTGTAAGTTGCTCAGTAGCCGAAAGATCACCTCTCAATGTGCTTTTGGCCTATCCGTGGGCATTTAGGGTTAATGCTGGTCGGAGTTATTAAAATCCCCATATACTGAAAAGATTACATTTGAAGTGGTTGGAAATATGCATCGTTGGACAGATAGGACACAACCAAGTCCTTTGGATCCTGAGCTAATAGATGGAACTCTATGCCTACCCTTAGCTCATATTTTAATGTATAAGAACAGTTATCCTGGACAGACATGATAGTCGGTCGCAAATGTTGCTAACCTTCCGATACGCAATAGTAAAGACTTCATTACCTGTTCCAAAAAGTTAGTTCTGTAGTCGTTTCCTTCTCCTTAGAAGTGTTGTGGTATACTTATCAGCCTATGAGAAGCGATGAGAGTGCCTGCATGAGGTTGATCATCATGTAAACGATAAAGCTGTATCGTCAAATGTAGTTTTAAGTGTTTTCCAAGCCTCTTGTGTACACATTACTCTATCCATAGTCCAGTCTACATTCTGTCTAAGGTGAAAGGGACCAAATCGTATATACAAAACTTAAAAAATATTACTGCATGATCCCTATGGATCAGTGGGAGGTAGAAGCTGGTTATGAGTTACCTCCTCTATGTGATGTATAACAACCAGGTCCAGGAGCCATATTTGTGCCCTTGATCATGGCACGTTGCACTAATAACGTTCTGGATCAGAACACCCTCTAGAGCCGACAAAATTAGATCACTCTCGAAGTAGGTACTTTAATCTGGGGATGAGTTCCTCCCAGTTAATGGGACGTCCTTTTAGGTCATCTATTACTATTTCTCCATTCAAGTGTGGTTCAGAACAAAGTCATTTGGCAGTCAACATGAACTCCAGTAAACTACCCCAATTTTGATTAATTCACTAACCGGCTTAACATCACAGCTTATTGATTGTTATATACTGTTATTATATACTTCTGTGTAAGTCCACCTTATATTTAGATTCTTGTTGATGTCCGGTATAACTCCACCCTTATACCTTAATATCTTGGCAGACCCGACGCAGGAGTACCCAGAGAGGAGTTGAATCCGAATCTCTTACGAACCATGTTTCTATCACAGCAACTACGTCAGCCCTTAGTTTGTCAACTGAAGTTTTGTTACACAAGCTGCTGTCATTAGTATACAGCACAGTTGTTTGAGGTATGACCCCTCTTACCCAATATGGGTCTTGGAAGCATTCGTTTCCAGGACCTTCCTATTCAAAGTCTATAAGTTCGATGCTTTGTTCTCCCTTCGCCTCCCAACCATTTAGATCAGTTAGGGCAACCCGTCTCTTCATTTTTTCCTCAAGAGGTTAATCTAGTTGAATGTGAACACTTGAGTCACGCAGTGTATGCGTTACCCAAAATAATATCCATCTCTTCTTCACTCTCTCAGACCATTTTTTAGATTCCTTAAGTAGGGTTGGTTTTTGTCTCGTTTACCTAGTGTCCATCTTGTAGATATATTTCCGGCAGGTGGTGCCGGATAGTGTCTTCAAGTAAAATGAAGGTCATGGGCAGTATGCTAAGGATTGTTTGTTTCTTTCGATTCTTTGAGATTCCAGAAGATAAGACTAGATGTTGAGTGAGGATCTTTGGGCTTTGTATCGCTTCCACGAAGTGTCAATCGCCCTTACAGCTTTGTCAGCATTCAAGTTACTTAAGAGCCTTGTATTGACTGCCTTTGAAACCTTTTCAAGTGGTTTTGATATCTTAGCAGTGGGAACTCAGGCACTTAAATGCTTCCTCGAAGTTTTCTTTAGCATAACCTAACCAAACTTGCCCGTTAAATCATCATTATCAGTTTCGTTTAGTAGGGTGTTTCCACCTTAGCTCTAATTATGGAGTTTGTCTTACGATGAGTTTGTATCCTACAACCAAGAGTTTCCAACTCATTTTTCTCCGTCTTAGTGTTCAGTTTATCGATTGGCTTAATCGGCTTGATACTGGCTTCATCAATTGTCTGATAATTCTTTAGTAAAGCCAAAAAGGTGTTCATACTTGGTAGGAGTTGCTTTGCTACCAAAGATTCAACCGCTTCGTATATGAGGATTGACATTGGTTTGCAGCAAAATATGCGCATCTACCTAGCAGTGGGACTATTACAAGATTTCTATTTCAGATGATCTGAGGTTAGTACGTAAAATGTGATACCAACAGCCACACCTCTAGCATTGTGGCCCTTTGTCCACAGGGTATTGGCATTCTGGTCGACTACATGCATTTTTCTGGTTTGACATTTTAATGATGTCAAATATGGGGATGGTCACTAGGACTGGTAAATCAGATGAACGTCCAAGAGAAAAAAAAACAACAGAATCTGATCAACAATACAGGAAATAAAACTGAACAAAACAAAATGTTGAAGAATGAACTTGAAAGACAAAGCATAATCTCCAGCTGAATTGCTCAAAGTTAAATTTTCCCATGGTACTTATAATGTGATTCACATAACAAAGGTCAGATTTGATAAGAACTTGAAGAATGTCACTTCTGTTTCTATGCTGCCCGAAAAAAGTTGTTGTAATAACAGTCATTAAGGGTGAGCTTTTTAGAATTTACCTAGATCTGAGTACTATGATTGTTAACCTTCGATCTCAAGTTTGTTTTTTGTTCATTTAAGGTGATTTCATGATACACTTATCTCTGTTTTGTACAAGATGCAATGGTAAAGAATGATATTATTTTTTTTTAATGAATAATAATATTTCATCAGCAATATTTTTCACCACATTATTCACTTGCAAGGTATAGTTTCATCCAAAAGCTGTAATTTTTCTTCAACTTATACCATGTTACTATACTTACTTACCTTAGCCAAACCTCAACTTACTATGTCTCCATCCAATGAAAATTGTATCAAAGAATGTGATGAAAAGCCATACAATGTTTCATGTGGTCTAAATGAAAATATAGTACAAGATTGGAAATTAAAATTTAATATAGAACCATCAGTTGACTGGATTATTCAAAACCAATGGACAAGAACACATTTAGAACCCAATGGTTTGGGGAAATTTATAACTGTAAATGATGGGCATGATGTAAGTTTTGCTGTTTAGCTTGTACTAGACTGTTTAGTTTATCTTTGAAGTCAAATATATGTAGTATTTCTAAATTTCAGTGCATTGAAGAAGTAACAACAATCATTATTGATTTATTTTAAGTACTACCTTGTACGAATGACAAGAGTAGAACCGCTCAACAAATATGCAGAAGGAAGTGGAGATGGATTGGGCATACACTGAGAAGACCGATTGGGGACATCACACACCAGGCCAGGCCCTCGAGTGGAATCCCCATGGGGAGCGACGAGTTGGGCGTCCGAGGTGAGGGTGACATGGAGGAGATCGTGTGAGGAGGAAATGAGAGCTTCTGGGCTGTCGTGGAGCCAAGTTGAAAAGATTTCAGAGAACATAGTGGAATGGAGACGTGCTACTTGAAGCCCTATATTCCATTAGGAACCCAAGGGACAAATAAAAAAATAATATAAACTACCTTGTGCAACGTGAATGCCAAGAAATAACAGCGATGTAAAGACTTGAAGGAGATGCAGAAGAGAGAGAAACACATTAAAAGTTGAGCGGGATTATATAAGAAGCTGTCTTGAAAATACCTAAGAAGAAACGTCCATTACGCTGGTTTCAATTTTGACCAGCAGAAGAAACAATAAAGTCATGGCATGATGATGATCATAACTGGCTTCGACTCCAAACCATATCTGATGGTAGTTTCAACCACAATAACATAGTTTTCTGTATCCTCATCCCGGAAGTTGTTATGCTCCGACAACTGCTAATCCAAAGCAAGTATCTTTAATATTACCGCTTCATATCACAATATGGTGGAGCAATGATTGTAGTTGCTCATGCATACTACACACAGTTTGGTTATATATTGAAAAAGTTCATAGGACTGGTTATAGTCTTTCATTGTCAAGCTCAATGTTTTACTATAGCAAGGCCAGTTCCCAGCCAACGTCATACTTGTCTCAAGGCTTCATAGTTGTATTGTTTTGTAACCATTCGAACACGTGTAAATAAAAACTAAACCATATGACTGAAATTCAGGCATGGGATGGAACTACAGTTCAATCCAAATAACTCCTATATGGATTGTAATGATACTGTTTATTCTTAGGTCATCGCTTGAATAATGATAGTCGACATCAAGTAAATCGACTTACGCCAATTAGTGTGTCAGATTGCTTAGAGTTGAAGAAAAAGCCATCGTCAGAGATAGACAGCTTTCACAGAAGGTTATTTTCTCAGTATCCTGAGTTCATACATGATTGCAATAGCTCTAAATGTGTTTAGCATCTATACATGCTTATTAGAATCATCAATCAACCTATTTCATATATAACTATTACAGATCTGTCCCATTTGTAATGTAGAATCTAGGAGAGTTATTTTTATGGAATGTTATGTATAAACACGTTTCATATAAAAAATAACCCTGAAAAGTTATGATGCATCGAATAACCACCTTGTGGTCAGCTTTTCATCTACTGGGATTCTATTCGAGCAACTCACAAGTAATGCAGTTTTTCAAAACTGAGGCGGTTTGTACCTCTCTGTTGTCTAAACTGAATTGGTTCTAGTACACAATACATCCAAATGTTAATCATCTTATCCTCAAAATAGACGACGAAACATGCCCATCTAGTCATCAAGAGAAAAAGAATACAATTCAGTAAGGAAAACTTACTTTTCCGAAGATATCATTATCTAAAGCTGTACAATCGTATTCATATATATGTTACAAACGTATTATTATCACTATTTGTCCCTTGAATTCCTAGTGAGAAATAGGGCTTCAGTAGCACATCGCCATCTCACCCTCTTCTCTACAGCCTTTTTCATCCGGCTCTACGGCTCCCTATGCCTTTCATTTCTTACTCACGCAATCTCCTCCATGTCACCCTCACCTCGGACGCCCAACTCATCATTTCGCATTTGCATTCCACTCAACAACCTGGCCTGCTTTGACAAATGATGTCCCCAATCCGTCTTCTCAGTGTATCCCCAATCCATCTCCACTTTCACCTGCATATTTGTTGGACAATGGATTCTTGATTCGTTGCCAGCCAGAGTGAGTTCCTTGTTGCTTGTTCTTTCTCACCATCCATCTGATTCCCATCTTCAATATCGAATGAGTGTAGGCGGCAGCTGTTGATGTATGATGTCTGTAGTTTGTTGGAAATGCTTTTCGTAAGGCGCTAAGTCTCTCAACCATCACATAGGAGCACTGGCTTGACTGACATTAGTAGTGTTGAAAATCCAGGTGTTGTTCACGTTTTATGCTGAGTGCAGTGCAGTGCAGTGCAGTAGATCTCCACACCGATTTCAGATTAGTGAAGGGAGGCTTCCCTTTCTGACTTTGACATTCTCATCTGTGCGTGTGCCACCGCCTGTAGTTGAGACGATGCTGCCTAGGTAGGTGGTTGATGATGATTAGTGCTTGTTGTTGTTCTTGGTTGAGTGCCTTGTCTACGTTCATCTGAAGGGAGTCCCGTCTTCGCTACCCTGCCTGTTGCGCCAACTTGTTAGTTTTTGTCTACAGATCTTTGAGTTTGTGCGACATAAGACATTAGACATAATTCATCATCGGCGAAATGCAAATCTTCTAGAGTCTTTTCATCGGTCAAACAGCGTATGTCCATCTTCTCACTCCTCACAGTTTGTTGCATGATCCAGTGCAGTCCCGTGGACTACGATCGTGAAGATCATCGGCGATAGTAGGCAACAAACGTATAACCGTCTATTATTAAACAATAGTTTATAATTGCAACATTAAGCCAGGTAGTGCTAAAAACTGAAACGAAGAATAGGAAGCAGTTACGTAATAATCTTTTAGATAGTGGAAATAATGAGAAAAGCAAGGAGTTTGACAAGGTAGACGTAAAGTCTGATGGCTAAGTGACCACTTGAGAGAAGGCGAAGAAAGAAACAAGGGTCACAATGTAAGCGATAATCAACTAAGAAAAGAGACTGGACATACTTCTTCTGCAAGAAGAGGCCAGGCGTGAACTGATGAGTTGCGAGTGCTTCTGCCCTGGTGTACAACTGTTGAAGGTGTACCACTCCTTTTGAACTATTCCCTTTGACTCAGTAAATCACGCTGAAGGATGACTCCAATAGAGCTGTATGTCGAAAGTTAATCAAATGTTCAAGAATTGAAGTGTTAATTGATTTGCATTCTCCCCCTCAACAGCCGTGCAAGATAGTGCTCAAAGACACGTTTGGAAAGTGTGCGCTTTGTATGATTTTATCAAACTCCTTGGCTTTCGCATTTCAGTTGAGTAAAAGAGTATCGTACGAATACTCTTCATTATTGATTTCAGATTTTTTTTAGCGGAAGTTGAATTAAGTTAGAAGAGAATTCAGGAAGATCAAATGAAGACGTGGCTCCAGTCGATGAAGTCTTTGAGTTTTTAGTTTGAGCCGTATGAGGAGATGTAGACTGTGTTGTTGGGCTCGCTGAGACGGAAGGAATCAGTGGTTGAGGACACTTGTTGACATGGCTAAAAGTGAGTTACAATGACGCAGATATATTCATTCCTTGACATCTTCTAAAGCTTGATTATTCACATTAACCTTTATCTTCAGTGTTTATTCTCTCACACAACTTTGTGTACTTCTATGAAGTGTGGCAACTTGAGGCGATTCACTTCTGTGCAAGATTCTACGTTGATTCTGTAAGTCAGTCAGTCAATATAATTGTCTGTGGAGCTGTGGCTCAGTGGTTTAGGTAGATGACTATCAACCGGTGGGTCATAAGTTCGAACCACGTTTCACCTACCGAGGTTTAGCCAGCAGCCACGTAGTACTATCATTAGTAGGTGTAGCATATTGCCAACTACACGAATGTACATAATATAATTGTCAGGCAGTCACAAAATTCATTTCCTTGTCTCAGTTGTTGTTTTCTTTCTTTCTTTGTATACCTTTCCAGTCGGTACTAACAGTATGGCCGGAAGGAAAACCAAGTCCAGTCATGGATCAACATGAACAAGATGAAAATGAAGAAGTGGAGAAAGGCGAAGAAGAATCAAGAAACTCAAAGATAAACGGTGAACCAGTTCAAATCCCTAGCACAACATTGAAACAATTTCTTGCACAAAAAATGAGTGATTCTGAGGCTCAACCACCCAAAGATCTTATTCTAAGCTGTTGGATACGCTTAACTGTTATTGAAAGGGAAGCGGAATTTGAAAAACCAGGTGGATTAGCACTACACCAACCAGTTGCACGTGAAGCTCAACTTGTACAACCAACTGGTACCAACCGTTTAATATATGATTCACGTTGGGAAACTGATACAAATTTAGTGAAACAGTTAACTGCTACTCGTACCTTTACTCCAGATCTAATACCTGGTAAGTAAGTTTTGCGAGGTGTAAATTATCAATAGACCTATACTTCACCCCTTCCTAAAGTATGTAGCTGTACTTTAGTTTACCTCGACTTGACATGCTAGGGGGGAAGTTGAATTCGGTTTGGAGAAAGATCACATGGGTGGCCAGATCAAGATCTGGCACCAGCCGATGAAGTCTCTTATCGTTGGTCTGAGGCGTTTGGGGGTAGTGTAGACTACCTGGTTGGGGTCCCCGAGACGATAGAAATCGATGGTTGAGGATTCTTGGTGATATAGCTGGAAATCGATCACAATGGCGGAGATGTATATTCACTCCTTAACGTCTTTTCACACTAACCTTCATCTTCAGACTGTTTGTTTTCTCACACTACTTTATCCAGTTTGAAATCACTCCTTTTCTATCAACTTGTTCTTTGTGTACTATTCCGAAGTGTGGTAACTTGGACCACTGCTCCTGTGTTCGGAGGTTCTACGTTGGTTTTGTCAGTCAGTCAGACACACTAGTTTGCTAATTTGTAAATATATATAATGCATAATTCAGTAACCATCATCATCAACATCATCATCTAGATCAATATAGGATCAGACATGACTGTGTAACAACCTTTCAAGTCGCCACACTTCATATTAGCACATCAAAGTAACAAGGCAATAAAATGGGAGATGAAGAAGCAAAGAAAGTTGAAGTAGAAAGTAGTAAAAGAGAGGATGAAGGAATGCGAAAATGATGAGATTAAGTATATCGGTCAAGATAAGGATAGTGTGTGAATGTATCTGGGCCACTAACATCGGTTCTGAGCAAACTGCAACCGGCTACTTTGCATCGCCCTACATGGTGGCTCAAACAAGCAGTTAAAAGCGTCATGCATTGATGTCATATTTTAGTCTGACCGCTCTTATCCTTTTTCCAGCCAACATTGTGTGATGCAGCAGACAGTGGTTAGACACATACATAACACATGTCCCAGCTAGTTATCTCAGTCGATGAAGGTTCACAATCCCCATCAACTGTCTGACCTCTCCTGCGTAAAACTCTACCTTTGAATTTATATATTACTCACATGGGGTGACAGTTAACATCAAATCTTCGAATCATTCCAATGAGACTGAGTATTCATGAAAAACTTTAAAAAGAGATATTCTCTTGACATTTGATCTCTTAAAAGGTTTTTTTTAAAAGAAGAATCATGTATAATTTGATTTCAAGGTGTGTTCATGAAACATTCTACTTTCCCTTCTTATTTTTATTTATTTACTGTTGACCAATCAGGCTCATCAAACTGGATTGTACAGCCTCTGTGTTTCATTTAATTATGGGTTCTATGAATTAATCTGTAGGGACATATTTCCTACTATTTGGGGGTCATGAGACGATAGAAACTGAGTGATCGAAAGTTTCACTTTACGTCACTTCATGAGTAAATGACGAATAATGAATAAAATCCAATATTTATACTACTAGCTAACTTTCCAAAAACAACTATATATGTCTGTGATGAAACTATTTAGTGATCTATGGGGATGATTATAAGATTATCTTCTAGTAAGGTTGGATCTGGACCGATGAAAAGACCCTAGAAGATTTGCATTTCGCCGATGATGAATTATGTCTAATGTCTTATGTCGCACAAACTCAAAGATCTGTAGACAAAAACTAACAAGTTGGCGCAACAGGCAGGGTAGCGAAGACGGGACTCCCTTCAGATGAACGTAGACAAGACACTCAACCAAGAACAACAACAAGCACTAATCATCATCAACCACCTACCTAGGCAGCATCGTCTCAACTACAGGCGGTGGCACACGCACAGATGAGAATGTCAAAGTCAGAAAGGGAAGCCTCCCTTCACTAATCTGAAATCGGTGTGGAGATCTACTGCACTGCACTGCACTGCACTCAGCATAAAACGTGAACAACACCTGGATTTTCAACACTACTAATGTCAGTCAAGCCAGTGCTCCTATGTGATGGTTGAGAGACTTAGCGCCTTACGAAAAGCATTTCCAACAAACTACAGACATCATACATCAACAGCTGCCGCCTACACTCACTCGATATTGAAGATGGGAATCAGATGGATGGTGAGAAAGAACAAGCAACAAGGAACTCACTCTGGCTGGCAACGAATCAAGAATCCATTGTCCAACAAATATGCAGGTGAAAGTGGAGATGGATTGGGGATACACTGAGAAGACGGATTGGGGACATCATTTGTCAAAGCAGGCCAGGTTGTTGAGTGGAATGCAAATGCGAAATGATGAGTTGGGCGTCCGAGGTGAGGGTGACATGGAGGAGATTGCGTGAGTAAGAAATGAAAGGCATAGGGAGCCGTAGAGCCGGATGAAAAAGGCTGTAGAGAAGAGGGTGAGATGGTGACGTGCTACTGAAGCCCTATTTCTCTCTAGGAACCCAAGGGACAAGTAATGATAACAATGATAAGTTGGATCTGAATGTCGTTGTCATTACTTCCTGCCTATGTAAATCATCACCGTTTACTAACCACATCTTTCGCAGTCATCTACCCACAGGATAGCCATTTCTATCTTTAGCCAACTTAACCAAGCTGTTTCTCTATGGGCTTATGTAACTCAGATAGCCAACTTATTTAATGCACTATGTGTTTATTAGTTATATTGTAATTTATTTGTTGGTGGCTACCATTTGGTACTCGGATGTTGGATGTAACTGAACTGCAGTGAACGATATTTTCCTCACAATGGTTTCACCGATTGCTAGGCCATTGGGGGGAAATAACCACCTACTCCTTGTACAGTGTATATCAGTTGCGTATTGTTTATTAGCCAGTTAGAAATAGTGAACATGAGAATCACATGATTGTGCGAATTTCAGTCATGAGCTTCGATAGAGTTCTAACCTTGAAATAGCCATATTATGGTATTTTTGACGCCTTCATGCATCACTGACTAACCAACCAGATTACTGTTGAATGAGTCATACTAATTGTTTTTGTTCACTTAAGCCTAATATCGATTGCATCTTGCACAAATAGTCCGAGAAGTGATTTTTTTATAGGCCATCTTAGCAACTGTTGAGATAACCAATCAGCGTTCAGTATTCCGGTTAGAGAGGTAATATTTTATTAAATCGAGAGAAAAAGAATTGATTATCTCAACAGTTAGTTGACTAGCTCTGGCGTTTAACTTCACCCTTTCTCACCAGTACATAGTCCTTTAGTACTACCCCCCTCTTGTCAATTACTAATCCATTCCGTATGATGCACTTAGTGTAACTGTCTAACACAAAAGATAGGGTATATCAGTTCGCACGAGGAGGGGGTATAGTTTCAGTGTAATTATACCATATATACCATATATAGCTATATATAACGCATAAGAAGCGCATGCATGAATATCGATGGGATAGTAGATTTATTAATTTACGTAGTTGCCACCACCAACGCAATCCAACTTGACGAGCATTTCGTCTTATTTCGGACTCGTCAGCTGGATATGCCTGCATTCCAGTGAGTAATGTTGTTCCCACTGGGACTCGAACCTCATACCCATCAGACGCCCAGACCACTTATACTATTTGTTGATATCCTTGTAATTTTCCGTTGTTTTACTTGGATTGAATATGAGCCCATATGCTAATAGAGTTCGGACACTTCGGTGGTTAAACTTAAGACGTGGCACCGGTGCATAAAGTTCTTGACTATTGGTCTACGCTGGATGCCTTGGTTTAGGTCTTTTGGTGATACGGCTGAAAATCGGTAACAATTGCCCAGATGTATTCACTCTTTTATTTATTCTAAAGGTCGTATGTTTTGAGTAACCTTAAGTTTTAAACTGTCTCTACTCCTATCCACCTTTGTCCGTTTTTAAGTGCTTGTAACCTGTTCATACTGACTACATTGTTTTTGGGCTTCGTCTTCATAGCATGAAACACAATCCCTTGGTATGAAATACACTTAGTAACTGAATGATGAATGTACTGAGTTTTACTGATTTTAGGAAATGCATATGAAATCACTTCGAGTGGGAGGAGTGCCTGTGAACACTAAATGGGGTGGTATTCTGCGTTAGTTTTGGATTTTCAGGATGTGGAATCCTTCACCCTTGTTAGGTTCAATACAGATTTTTTTAGCGTCTCATGTTGTTTAGACACCAAATCGAGATTTCTAGTTAAGATTGGATATCCTGGAGAGACTAAAGGATGCACTGGATTCAAAACTACGACCATAACAGGCTGGCTGGCTTCAGGAAGAACAAATCATGTGCGGATCAAATTGTAACGCAACGCTACGCATAATCATAGGACCTCAACTTCATCGACTTTCAAAAGGCCTTCGACAGCGTCCACAGAGAATTAATTCGGCAGTTACTTCAACACTTCGGAGTGCCACAAACCTTTATCAACTTCATTCAACAGCTATATGACGACTCTATATGCCAAGCAACGCCTTTAAAGTGAAGACAGGAGTAAGACAAGGTTGCCACTTACTATCACCAATGATCTTCCTAATTGTGGTGGACTGGATTCATGCAGCATACCGTGAGGAGCGAGATGGGCATACGCTGGACGATGATAAGAGCCTAGAAAATTTGGATTTCGCCGATGATTTATGTCTAATGTCTTGTCGCACAAACTCGAAGATGTATAGGCAAAAACTAACAACTTGACAGAAGAAGAAGCAGGGCAGCGAAGACGGGACTTCAAGTGAACATGGAGAAAACAGAGCTGATGAAGGTATCCAACCAACGCCACCACCAACAAAAACAAGCTCCAGTCACCATCAGGGGGAAAAACTGAAAAGAAGTAGCCTCTTTCACCTACCTAGGCAGGCAGCATCGTTTCAACTACAGGTGGTGCGGCACAGACGAGGACGTCAAAGCCAGCCATAATCGGAAAGGCAAGACAGGGGTTCATTTAGGTGAAACTAGTGTAGAGATCTTCTGCACTCAGCATAAAGCGTGAACAAGATCCAGATTTTCAACACTGATGTCAAGTCAGTGTTTCTACATGGTTCAGAGACCTGG